TGGCCCCCGTGCTTCTCCCGAAACAGGAGAAAGCAGGGGACTGACGAGCCGGAGCACAACCCTTGAGTAGCTCGTTGGTGCTTTTGGCCCAAGCCCTGAGGGCCATCCGAGCCATCGCAGCAGGGTCAGTGACCCAGGGCGGGAGCACAGCCGGGATTCGTCCTGGTGCAGTAGTGGCGGGTCAAAACTGTCCTGAGGTCGGGACTCAGTGGAGTGGGGATTCAAAGGGATTCACCTCCTGGCACCTCCTGGCCTGGGTCAGAGCTTGTCCTGGGTCCTTGTCCCGCCGTCTTCTGCTGCAGCCAGTCCTCCTTGGCTGCTGGGGTTAAAGTGCTGCAGCGTTGCTCTTGGCTGGAGCAGGGACAGGGGTCACAGCGCACCGCTGGCATGGTTGGGGAGAGACTGCACAGCACCTCCCACTCTTCATCTCCTGCATGGAAGGGACACACTGAGCTGCCCCTCGCCTCTTGTGTCTGTCCCTGAGAAGAGACAGACCTTCAGGATTGGGGTCCCCAGAGAGTCCCCCGCCTCTTGGTGCCCCCCATGGAGTCCCCGTCAGTGAGGATGGACCCCCGTGCTGCAGATGCCATGTCAGGGCTTCCCAGCAGCTGCGTTTCAAAGAGCTTTTGAAGTCGCAGTGCCTGAGAGTCAGGGCAGCTCGTGCACAGACGGGCAGCTGCTCCCTGTTTTGCTGGCACCCGGCACCAAGGCATCGCCATGGTCATCGGAAATCCAGTGGCCGCTGGATCCCTACAGCAGCAGCAGTGCCTGAGCCTCCCATGCCATTCTGTGGAGAGTGGATCTGCAATCCTTGCTTGCAGACATCCAAGAAAAACAGTTGGAGGGCGGTGGGGAGATCCCTCGCTGCGATTACTCGCTGTCCTTTGCTGGGATGCTGGTGGTGCTGAGCAGACGCCCGCTAACGGTGCGTGGCAGCTGATGCTGAACAGCCCAAGGATTAAATCTTTCCTGGCCTGTACACAGGTGTCTGCCAGCCCCCCTGCATTAGTGGGAGCTTCACTGAGCATCCCAGGATCCCCAGCTGTCTGCCAGCTGGGTGCTTCATTTGGGGTGCAAGCGGCAACAGGTGACGGCCTGGCTTGTTTCACCCATTCGCAAAGGAGTGATCAGGAATTGGGGTGCTGGGTGCTGTGCCTGCGACAGCCCCGTCCCAGGGACCACTTTTGGAAGACAGGAGGGTAGAGATCTTGTGTGCCTGTTGTGCTGCTGGGAGCCCATGGTGTCACTTGTGGGCCCAATCCTGCACAGCCAGGCTTGGGAATTAGCAAATCCTGTGTGGGGTTTGCTGGTGGGAGGGTCTGGACATTGAAGCAGCAGCTCTGTGGCTTTTCCTGTTGCCAGTCCCAGCTCCTGCTGCTGCTCTCCATGGGGGAAGGCGTGCAGAGAGCATCCCACCCTTGTGCTGCATCCTGCTCCAGCTGTTGCGCTCAGTGAACATCGCTCTGCCTTCCTTCTCCACATGGCCACTTGCTGCTCAGGATCCTACCATCATCTCCCAAGCCCACACCCGGCAAGACATCCCCCTTTCCAACCCTGTCTGCCGTGTCTTCGCTTCCCTCTACTCCAGCACCATTTTCCTGGTGCCGTTTTCTTGCTTTGCAGCAGCCAACAGTCCTGGGAGCTAGTGGTGCTCAGCCAGCTGGAAAAAGCGTCTCGGTGATGGACGTCACCCAGAGCGTGACGAAACCATCCCAGCCTGGAGCAGAAGGCCCACTTACCAGTCCCGGAGGAGCCTCATAAACCATTTCCTTTAGGATTTGTTTCCTCCAGGAGCGGCAGGCTGGCCTCGCCGGTGCGTGTCCCCGCGCCGAGCTGGCTGTGGTGTGTCCAGGGGCTCCATCCTGTGACTCGGGTGCAGACAGCGTGCTGCGGGAATTTTGCTGGAAGGGGCAGGTCTGTCCAAGGGGAAGGTGCAGCTCCCCAGGCTTTTGGAGCTGTAACCAGAAGTTGTGTTGTGTCCTATGGTGGAAGGCAGCAGCCGGCCGTGTTCCCGTTACTGCTGCTAGAACCAAGGAGGACGTGGCCGAGGACGTTGGATTGTGGCCTTCGTCCTGGGGAAGGGTCGTTGGGGCTCCTCGCTGGAGGAGCTGTGACACAACAGCTGCTGGTCGCGCTTTGTCATTGGCAAAGGTGGAGACAGCTAAAATCGTCTGAGGGGGCTGTTTGAGCCACCGAAGGGGCTGGGGCTTCATGCTGGGTGCTGAGTCAGGTGTGGAGCCGAGATGTGGCTGAGACCTGGCTCCTTCTGGGCTCTGCGCACAGCCGTGGGGGTTGAGGAACCAGGCAGACCAGCCCGAGATGAGGGCTGGGATTCATTTCTCTTCAGTATTGACCTCCCAGGGGGAGATGCTCATGTCTGACCTACTGCAGCCCCGGGGAGCTCATGGGCTGGTGCTACTAGGACGCATTTTGGCTTGGAAAAATACTCCCTGAGCCCTGTTCAGTGCCTGTGGTGAGTGTCCCTGTGAAAGTCTGCGCTGTCTGGCTGTACGAGGTATAACCCAAATGAGTAACTTAGCCCTGCTACTGGCAGCTGGGCCTGGGGAGCTTTCTTGCAGGATGTTCTCCTGATGCCACCCTCGGCATCGCTTCGCTCAGCGAGCAAACGTGGCGCTCATCCGGGTTAATCCGGATGCTTCGTGAATGTGGTGGTGTGGATCTGGCCACGAGCAGGGTGCTTGTCCCAGTGTCGGAATTACAGAGGGAGAGGCTGCAGAAGGGTGTCCTAACAGTCTTTCAAAATCAGGGAATAAACCCTGCACATACCCCAGCCAGCCCCTAAATCCACATGGACACAAGCTGTGGGATGCTGCCAGGAGCAAGCATCGTCCGGACTCACTGTGGGGAGATAGTGCTGCCTCCGGCGGCATCTGGGCTGCACGAGGACCATCCTGGTGATCTTCCTAAAGCCTCCCCACGCTTGGTGGAGAAGGTCTGCAACGCTGATGGCCACTTGTCCATCACTTCAGTGTTTTTTTTCTTTTAATGAAAGAGGCTATAAATGAAGCCTGTCGGTGAAGATGTCCCTTTGGGATACAGCGTGGATCCTCTGCAAAGCTCGGCAGCCTTGGGATGAGAGAACCTGAGGTTTTTATCTGCTGTGATTTTTATTTAGGACATTGATTTGTTGACTGATGGAGTGATTTTTCCTCCACATCCCACGGCTCCCAGCTCTCTGGTGATGTGCTGGAGAGCTTTCTTTGCTGGCTCCCCTGTGATTACCTGCTTTTCCTTAATTTACTGTGTTTAATTGCAGCAGGATAATTGCAGGTGATCTAGCGCATCGTTTTAAAACGCTGAACCCCCTGAGCTGGTATGGCCGGCAGTTTCCATCCTCAGTGCCAGTGAGCTGTGCCAGAATGGGTATTTCTGTGCCTGCTGCCTGCAGAGGGGACCTTCGGGGCAGATAATGAGCTTTGCAGGGCCAGGAAGGTCACGGCTGCTATCCCATTACCTGCCCTTGGGTTTCATCCTCTTAGAGCCATGCAGCAGTGCAAGAAAAGAAGCCAGCACGCCAGCTTGGGGTGCGGGTTAGTTCTGACTGGCAGGAGGCTTCAGCTGGAAGCTGAGTGTGAAGGCAGCAGGGCAGGGTCTGCCCGTGGGCTTTGCAGCCGTGGGTCACGGCCAGCTTTGGACTTTTCGGGGTGGGGAGAGGAGCTGAGTTGTTACCAGAGAAGGGGGTGTGAAGTGCCCTGGAGATGTGCTGCCTGGTCTTGCATCTCTCCGTGTCTGTCCGTGCAGCCCTGTGGGGACTGTGGCTCCCGGGAGGAGGAGCTGGGTGTCCCCATCAGGCTGGGGGATGCAGGATGAGAGCACAGCTAGAGATCTGGGGGGGACAGGCCCTCCCTGCCTGCAGTCAGAACCAGCAAAGCCAGTGACATGCTGTGTTGCTCCACGCTTGCAGGACCACGTTCCCATTGTGGTGCCAAGGATGTACAGAGGGCTCTGCCCCTCTCCTTTCCTGGGAGGAATTCCCTCCCGCTCTCCTGGCTGATGCTCCAGCCTTGGTGCTGTTGCAGTGTGGCGCTTGTAGGGGAGTGTTCATGGAGCTCAGGGCAGGCAGTGTGACAGCACTGTGGAGCTGCTGAGGGCTTCAAATGGAAGTCCAGAGGACGAGAAGCTGATGGTGTAGGATGAACCCTGGGTTCAGTCAGCCTGGGTCACAGTGTCCCCACTGTTGGCTGCCTGGTGGCACAGGACAGGGACACTGGGTGTCCTTCAAGGCATCGTTTAGTGCATCCATGAGCCCTCCTTCCCTCATGCATGCATCCCTGCGGCTGGTGCATCCTGCTCCCCAGAAAAGGTCCCATCAAGGAGAGGGCCTTTGGCCATGGTGAACACCTTACAGGGGCCAGGCCAGGCCCTTTGCTGTCTGCTGGGCTGTGTGGTTCCGGGGAGGAGCTGGCATCCTTGTCACTGTCTCCTTGGAGCAAAGGGCTTGCCAGCTCCTGTCTTGGGCATCCTTTCCTGTCTGTGACTGTCACCCCAGGGACCATCATCCTGTCCGGCTTATCTGTACCTGCAGGGTTGGGGATGGAGGTGGCTTCTGGGGATCTTGGGGCATCCATGAAGAGCTGGGCTGGACCAAGGCTTGTGTGAGCCCAGCCTGGGCTCCCGTGGACCAGCGATGGGACCAGGGACAGGAGCAGGCTGTGGCATGGTCAGCCAGGCTGCCAGGGGAGATGAGACATCATGAAGACTTTGTGGTCTTAAGGCAGTTTTCTGTGTTGCAGTTGTCTCCTTCGAGATGCTTCATGTTTGGGTGGTCAGAGCTGAACTGGTTTTAGCCTCATGGATATGAGGGATTGTGCAGAGCTCTGGGATATCATGTCGGAAAACCAGGGTTGTGGGACATGAGGAGGGAGAGTGGTGGGGAGCTAGCTCTGGAGTCACCAGGTGCCAGCACTGGCTTCACGAGGAGCTCCCAGGGTGCCGGGGCTGTGCCAGGTGCTGACATGTCCCTTCCTTCTCCTCCCCAGGCTTGCCGCGATTTCCTCGACTTAGCCGAAACTCACAGCAGAAAATGGCAGCGGGCGCTGCAGTATGAGCGGGAGCAGAGGATCCGGCTGGAGGAGACCATCGAGCAGTTAGCCAAGCAGCACAACAGCTTGGAGCGAGCCTGCCGTGGAGCCCCTGGCCTGTCCTCCAGCAGCACTGGCATCGCCAGCACTGCCAAGGGTGAGTGCTACCAGGCTGGGCCGCGACTGGGGTCTGTTACGGGGGCAGAGCCCAGTGGGGATCCCGGGGATGGACAGGGGCTCCTGTCTGCTCTTTTCATAGAATCACAGAATGGTTTGGGTTGGAAGGGACCTTAAAGGTCATCCAGTTCCAACCCCCCTGCCATGGGCAGGGACACCTTCCACTAGACCAGGTTGCTCCAAGCCTCATCCAGCCTGGCCTTGAAGACATCCAGGGATGGGGCATCCACAGCTTCTCTGGGCAACCTGTCCCAGTGCCTCCCCATGTTGTCTGGGAAGAATGTCTTCCTGATATCCAATCTCAATCTCCTTCTTTCAGTTTAAACCCGTTACTCCTTGTCCTGTCACTCCCTGCCCTTGGAAAAAGGCCCTCCTAGGCACTGGAAAGGGCTCTAAGGTCTCCCCGGAGCCTCCTCTTCTCCAGGCTGAACAAGCCCAACTCTCCCAGCCTGTCCCCATAGCAGAGGTGCTCCAGCCCTCGGAGCAGCTTCGTGGCCTCCTCTGGTCTCGCTCCAGCAAGTCTGTGTCCTTCTGCTGTTGGGGGCCCCAGAAAATAGACTCAGCAGCTCCCAGCGAGTCGGCAGGGATGGGGAGGATGCAGAAGGCAGTGCCCTGTGTGCCTGTGGTTTTGTTTTTAATGGATCCCATTACACCATAAGTGTCCCTCTTTGTCCTGCTGCTCCTTGCTTGGGGAGTTGGATTTCCCTAAGTTACAGGTGTAGGAGAGGGCTGTGTCCCCAGCTTGCCTGTGCTGTTTTGGACTATTTCAGTAGCTGTGACCTTCACCAGTGGGCACATCTCCGGCTGCTGCAGGGCAGCCATGGTGCTTGGAGGAAGCGCAGGATCCCCTGGCGCTGCCGCGTTCCCGGTGGTGGTGGCATGGCTGGGGTTTGTTTGCTTTTCATGAGAGTTACTGGGCTATAAAATCTGACAGCTTTGCATATTTGTGCCAAATTTCCTTCCCTGTGGGAGGCATAAGTTAAATCTGGTAGCCAAAAACTGTGAATAAGACCTTGTCTTATTTTTAAAGGATATATAGACTCAAGGGAGAGAGTAGTGGCTGTTGGGTGGTGACAGCAGTGCCAGGCGCTGCTCTTGTTTTTGTACAGCCTCAAGGAAACAGCCTCAAGTTGTGCCTGGGGAGTTTAGATTAGGTATTAGGGAGAATTTCTTCATGAAGGGGCTGGGGGCACTGGAACAGGTTGCCCAGGGAGGTGGTGGAGTCACCATCCCTGGAGGTGTTTGAGAGACATGTGGATGAGGTGCTGAGGGACGTGGTTAGTGGTGGGTGGGCAGTGTTGGGTTAATGGTTGGACTCGATCTTAAGGGTCTTTTCCAACCTGAATGGTTCTGTGATCCTGTGGTGCAGCTGGGGAGGGCAGGAGCGAATTAGGTGTAGGGACAGACACACATCCAACCCGACGCCATCACACGGGGTTAGCCAGCTCCTTTGAAGGGGTGTGGGAGCGGTGCAGCGCAGGAGGTTGCTGAACCCTGCCAGGAAGCCGAGCTAGCGGCCATCCTAGCCTCTTCACCTGTGGCAGAGCGGGGAATTCAGCCCGCGGTGAGGCTGTGTGTGGGGAGCAGCAGGGGCAGGAGCAGGGCAACTGCACCAGGTCTCAAAGTCACCGCAGTTAATGTTCTGGCGGGGTGAGAATGTGCATGGGGCCAGCAGTTCAAGCTCCCGGCTTCGTAACCATCTCTCCCACCACAGCAGGGAGGAGAAATGATTGTAAGTCTGGGGATGGAAAACCCAAGAGCTGTGAAGTGTCCCTAAGCATCACCTGAAACATGTGACTTTTTTATCGCATTTGAACCCAAACGGGGTTTCCTGTGCTGTAGTGGTAGCTGCCTTAAATGTGCGAGTTGTGTGTGTCTGGCTAAGGCAGCCTGGTGGCACTTTGGGAGGTGCCTCCAGCATGGCAGGGAAGCCTCATGTGCCTGGATTGTAGAGCAGGACATGGGCTGGCAGGACACATCCTTCCCTGCTTTTAGGAGCTGGAGATCAGTACAGAATCCTTTCATCTTGGAGTGGGATGGAGAGGAGGGTGAGAAGCTGTAAAGGGAGCCAGTGCTGCAGGAGACACAGCGGGAGGAGGGTGGGCTCTGGGGACATGCTGGTGCTTGGTGGGTTCAGAAGGGAAGTGCCAGCACCCGACATCTTGAACCCTTTGTGCCGACAGGGAGTGTGCAGTCTGCAAAAGGAGAGGCCAGTGATGAAGATGAAGAGACGGAGTATTTTGATGCCATGGAGGATGCACCAGCTTTTATCACTGTAACTGCAGACCCCAAGCACCACAGGTATGAGCCCCCGTCCCAGCGCAGTGCATCGCACGTTGCAGCCTGGTCAAACCTGCTGAGGGTGCGGGAAGAGCAGGGGGTGAGATGGTTTCCTGGAGTTGGGCTTGGGCTGGAAGGCAGCATCCTCTCCCGAGGGGTTCTCTGCCTGCATGTCCCCCAGCAAACCATCTGCCTCTGCCCCGGGCTCTGTACTGTGCCCGGCTGCTCTTGCATCCCTGGAGTGAGCAAGGCTGTGGATGGCCCCAGCTGTAGCAAAGCAGGCAAGGAAGGGCAGACGTCAAGCCTGTGCTGCGGGAAAGCCAAGTCCTCTGCCCCGGCAGCTGACAGGAGCTCGAGGGCAGCCTGGGCAGGAGTCTGGGGGGAGATCCCTTGGAGCCTTGGGCAGAAGCGGGGAGCAACTTGCCGCCTTTGCCTTGACTTGCTCTTATGCTTTCCTGGGCATCTGTCTGGGCTGGAGTCATCTGTGGTCTGAACCACAGTCACACTGCTGGCCTCATTGGCAAAATCAGAGGCTCTCAGTGCTGAGGCTGGGACACTCCACACTGCACTCCCTCCAGCAGCCTCCATCACCCCACTGCCTTCCCAGCAGCACCCTGGGGTGGTGCAGGGAGACTCTCCGGGTGATGCTGGCTGTGCTGCACCAACTCTGGCTTTTCTCTCCCTTTCTCTGCGCTTCCTTGTGCTCACCAGCCAGTTCTTGCTTCCCCACAGGCGTTCGGGCAGTAACCTGAGTGGGGCCAGCGAGGGCCACCCTGAGGACTGGAACCTGGAGGACAGTGTGAGTTGGCCGGGCAGGGTGGGAGGGATGGTCCCGCGGGATGAGACCAGGGGAGAGGAGGAGGCTGTTGGAGAGACTCTCCGTCCGCATCCCTCCTGTGCCCCCAGGATGGATTGCTGTGAGCCACGGGGGGGGGACAGATATCAATGGTCTTACAGCAGCTCCCCACACTTCCCTTAAGGGAAGCAGGACAGTGTTGGTGGCAATTGCACTGTTATTTCCCCCATGCCCTGGAGGACAGGCTCTGGTGATGCACCCAGGGATGCTCCCCCTGTGCACAGGATGCGTCCTGAGCTGTGGTTGCTGCTCCTGGCTCTGGTTGGGCCGTGCTGCCTCAGTCTGGCTTAACTTGTGCCTCTTCTGGTGCTTCTGCAGGTCTTTGAAAGCTCAAATCAAAGCAGCTACAATGAGTCCACTTGTAAAGATCTCCTGCCGAAGAAAAGGAGACGGACTCGCATCCCCGACAAACCCAACTACAGCCTTAACCTCTGGAGCATCATGAAGAACTGCATCGGCAAAGAGCTCTCCAAGATCCCCATGCCCGTAAGTGAGCCTGCCCCGGCAGCGAGGCCCGCGGAGAGTCTGCTGCTGTGGTGCCAGCGCTGAGGGTTTAGTTTGGGCACAGCCTTTGGCTGTGCAGAGGATTTGGATTCGGCTCTGGGTGGCCCTGCCAGGTGCCGTGACAGCACAGCAACCCGAGCAGGACAGGAGCACATCACCAGTTGCCAACCTCGCCTGGGGGGGCTGTTTTTAGCGCTGGCAGAGCGCTCTGAAACCACCTCACTCCTCTCCCCAGCCCTGCTCAGCAGCACCGATGTGTCCTGGCTGCTCAGTTCTGCTGGCTCAAATCCCCTGCAATTTATTTGCCCCCTGAAACTGCATTTTGCCCCTGAAACTGTCCGAGTGCTGCCCAAGAGTTAGAAGGCTCAGCAGCGCTGCAGGGGGCTGTCCTCAGCGGCACGGGGTGCAGTGCTGATTGCTGTGGGGAAAACGACAGATGCCATGGCTGTTGCATTAGGGACTGTTTGAACTGGGTGAGCTCTTTCTTTGGGACTGATCCCTTCTGTGCTGCCTGTGGAGAGCCCTGGCAGCTTGCTCACACGAGTCTCAGGGCAAGCTGGAGCAGAACAACGTTGCCCGAGTGTCCTCTACAAATCCAGCGGGTGCAGGGGGAAGGAGGGAACCAGGACACCTTGAATGCCAGAGGATTCAAGTGTTTCGCCCAGGGGACACAAGAAGAGACCTTGCTGCTGCTCATGCTTTCCCCAGCATGTCTCCTGGGGTCACGATGCTCAGGGAGCAGCCCCACCAGCACTGGCAGCACACCAGGGCCGCGTGTCACCCCAAGGACCCAGAGTGCCTTCATTTTCCTTGAAAGAGTGGCCTGCAGTGAAGGGGGTGCCACGGGGGCGATGTACGGCACTGCTGGCTGCTGTGGGGTTTGCTCCTTGGGGTGAAGCTTCTGGTGGGTGGTTAGGAGAGGGTTTGCAGGCAGGGGTCTGGCTGAAGGAGCCGCCCTTGCATGGGCTGCCACAGACAGTAAGTGGGATGTGCATTATATCTTGCAGATAACAACTCTGTGCCTTGTGTACCCAGGCGAAACACTGCCCACGCCACAGCTCCCCCACAACTGCAGCCCCTGTTTTTTCCAGGCAAACCAGCCTTTCCCAGCTGCCAGTTTTCCAGCAGGTCTTGGCCAGCCCAGCAAGCAGCATGGATGGGACTGGGTGCCATCATAAGGAACCCATTTCCCCAAACCCCATGCAGTCCTGTCAAGCTTGGGAGAGCTGTAAAACAGCTGGGGGTGTCTGGGGGTCCTTGCAGCGCTGGCTGGAGTGGAAGTGGCTTGGCAAACTGTGATCCATAGCCCTGGACCTGTATTTGGGGTCCTTCCTTCTCTGGATAAAGGGGAGGGGCATGTTGAAGGGGCTTGGATGCTGAATTGATAGTATTTCATCTCCTCTTAAAGCAGTGCCTGACACTCTCCGAGTGACAGCAATGAGCTTCTCCCTTCCTATTTCCCGCCAAGGTACACAGCTCAGTGCCGTCCGTTCGCGTTTCCACAGCAGCATCGATGTCCGATAAAGGTGTCATGGGTACAGAAATAAGTTCAGGATGTGAAATATCAGCAGCTGTCGGTGCCTGGGGAGAGGGAATTTTATACCTTCCCTATCAATCAGATAATTCCGGGAGCTGTTAAAGCTGAGTCTAACCCTGGGAGCAATATGTTCTGCTCAGGCAGCAGCCCCTGATGCTAGCTCGGGGGATGTAATTGCTCCATCCCCTCCCTGGGGCGAGCGGGTCTGGTTTCCCAGCTCTGCTGTCTCTGCAAACTGTTCCCTAGAGCTCTGGGTTGTAAGGAAGGGGCTTGGCCCAGCATCGGTTGCTCTCTGTCTCTCCTCTCTGGATATCTGTACAGGTACGGAGGCAGGGAGATGCTTTGCACCTCCAGGCTCAGCGGCACGCAGCAGGTTCAGCCTGCTGCTGAAGGTATCGGGGCAATGTCATCTCCTCTCACCAGGCATTTGAATTCTCTGTCCGTAGCGTGTGTGCTCAGAGCACAGGAGAAGTCACAGCTCCGTGCATCCAGACAGTGGTGCCAAATGGGGGCTGTCCAGCTGACACTGTGGTAACCAGAGGAGGAGGAAGCGGAGCTGCCGGCTCGTGGGGGCTGTGTGGGAAGTGGTTAATTATAGTACAGACCACCAGTGAGCCTGTTGTGTGCTCCGAGCGTCGGGAGTGTCTCTTCCCATGTGCTTCACCCGATTCTTGGGATATTAGAGGCATTTCCGAGACCCCTGAGCCCTTCCCGGGTACGTGATGGACTGAAAAGACACTCCTCGATTTTCCTTCGGAGCAAACAAACCTGCAGCATTGACAGGGAAGAAAGCACCTTTAGGGGTTTTGCATTTTGGGTGGGTTCATCTTCTTCCGTGGAAGGGTTTTGCTTTGCTGCTGCGAGCAGGGCTGGGAGAGAGGGTGCAGCTGCCGGCTTTGTTCCCGTGCTGCCTGCGTCACTCCCGGGAGTTACCTCAAGCCCGCAGTGATTTGCTTGTCTGTATGGATGTGGTGCTGCCCTCCCTGCACAGCTCCCTCCTTCTTGGATGCTGTAAGATCCCTGATACTTCAGTCCCTGAGCAGAATGATCTGGGGTTTGTTTTCTTTAGTATGAAATACGTAACTTGGCTTATAGAAGTGTTGCTCCCATCCTTCAGCCATCTGCTGCTTCTACAGTCTATTCCTTTGTTCTGAGCCGAAAGCAGAAAGGGAATTTCATATGGTTGGAGGCAGAAGACCTTTGCGACAAAGCGTCTCCATCTTCCTTTCACTTGTTTTTTAATATCAACTCTTTTCAGAACAGAAGTGTTGCTAACATCAACCGTTTGGTTTTTCCCCGGGGGGTTGCAGCCTGTCCAACCTGTCGGCGCACGGCAGCTTTCTGACTGACAAAGCAGTGACTTGGGGGTGGGAGTATGACAGATCTCCCCACCGCTCCCTGCCCCATGGGGCATTGCCAGTTCGGGTGCTGTCGTGGGGCTGCAGTCCCAGGCGTGGGGAGACCCCGAAATGGGGCTTCTCAGGGTTTTCAGAGTCACTGGGCTGCAGCTGGGATGGTTCTGCAGGAGGCGATGGAGGGCGGCCCAGGGAGCAGCACACGCCTGCCCCGTGGTGCCCCTTGGTTGTGGCTGTGGGATGCTGGGCGGGAGGCGGGGGGAAGCTGGTCTGAGGCTGAAGCTCATTTTGGGCATCACCAGAGCAAGGTGATACCTGGGACAATAGCTGATCTCATGGGGCTGCTGGACGCCCAGCACATCCTGTCTCAGCTGGGGACTTCAAAGCCTTTGTGGCATGGTTCAGGGAGCACAGCAGAACATGTGCTCTTCCCTTCATGTGACACTTGTGTGATGCTGCAGAGGCAGCACGCAGGCCGCGTGTGGGCAGCGTGCAGGTAGTGTGTCGTGGCACATCCAGCCCCGTGCTGTGAGCTGCCTGTGGGGCTGCAGCTTCGGTTGGGTGCCATTTCCATCCATCCCGGATCCCTGACCCTTGGAGCATGTTGTGCTGTGCCAGAGAGCTGAGCACGTGGGATGCTGGTGGTTAACAGGGCACGGGGTGGGGGAAGAACGCAAAGGGTGAAGTGTCCAGCTTGGCATCTCCCCTGCTTTGCTAACCCTAACTCGTTCCCCTCCAGGTGAACTTCAATGAGCCGCTCTCCATGCTGCAGAGGCTGACGGAGGATCTGGAGTACCATGAGCTGCTGGACAAGGCGGTCAAGTGTGAGAGCTCCATGGAGCAGATGTGCTTCGTTGCTGCGTTTTCTGTGTCTTCCTACTCGACGACTGTCCACCGCACTGCAAAGCCATTCAACCCACTCCTGGGGGAAACCTATGAGCTCGACCGGCTGGAGGAGTTTGGTTTCCGTTCCCTGTGTGAGCAGGTGAGCCAGGGGCTGCAGAGGAGCTCTGCGTGTCCACCCTGCTGCTGGTGTCTGGCCGGAGCTGCCCTTCCTGGAAGGAGACCCGGCCTCTCCTCACACTGAGCCTTCTTCCTGGCCAAGACACCCAGTGGGTTGGTGTTGGCCGGCGCAGCAGCAGGCAGAGCCCAAGCCATTTCTCAGAAGCAGGACAGTGTGCCCGTGCCGGCGTTGCAGAGCGGGAAGTGGGGAACAAGGGGAGGAGAAAGGTGTCCATCACTGTCAGATGTCCTGGCAGCCTGCCTGGGGCTGCTGTCAACACTTGAGCAGGAAGGGAGCAGCTCTCCTCACCTGAGCTCCCTCCTTGGCCATGCCAGTGGTGCCTGCGAGCTCTGGCACAGTTCCTCCCTGTTCCAAGGTGTCTTTGGGCTGGAGCGCGTCTCGGGGTCTCATTTCTTTCTCTTGGACTGAACGTTTTTAGTTTCAGAGCCTGGGGCCAACCCGAGAGCCTCTGACAGCCCCACGCTCTGCCCACAGGGCGCATCTGGCACACGTCGCTCCAACAGCAGGTCTTAATTAGAAACCTGCAGCGCTGGATGAGTTGTGACCTGTGAAGAAAATGGACTGTTGAATATACAGCACACTGTGCTGGCCCATCCTGGATTCCTGGGGAGGGATGGGGCCATTCATCAACCCTTGCAGGCAGGAACAGGAATAAACTTTATAATTAAATTATCTTAAAAGTATTAAGCATTGAATCTACTCAATTTGGAAAGTACATCATGTTGGTGGGGCTCTCTGTTCCCCAGGGGGTGGCTGTGCTGCCGCAGGGGCAGAGTGACCCTCATGTCTTTGTGTTCAGAAGCATCAAACAAAATCACAAACCTCTGTCTCTCTGCAGAGGCTGATGAAGGTCCAGGATCTGCAGAGCCTTTCAGCAGACTGTGCCCCAGAGCCCCCCAGACCTTTTGGTGGGGGCGTTGCATGGGAAAAGGGTCTTTCTGCTAATCCAGGCATGCCGTGCTCCGTGATGCTCACAGCACATGTTGGATGTGGGGATGGAGTGCACTGGATGTGCAGTGAGGAGGCTCAGGCTTGCCCTTACACCCCTGTGTTCCCCTGCCATGGTTTGGCTTGTCTCTGTCCCTCATCATCAGCACCTCCCAGTCACGCCCCTTTGTACCCAGGTTTGGAGCAACCGCTGGTGGCAGGTGTCATGCTCTGCCGTCAGCTCCTCACAGGACATGTAGGTGCAGAGAGAACCCCTCCATGGGAATGGAATGGGTGCTCGAGCTTGGCAGACTCTTGCAAAGCTCTGGGCCAAGGCAGAATGGCACTTCCCAGCACCTCCTGGCGCCTTCAGTCTCTGGGCTGTGCTGTTCCGGGCAGTGATGTTGAACCGGCTGTGTGGGGTCTCCTGGAGATGTGGCCCCTTGCTTGTGACAAACAGAAAGGTGCTTCAGCAGATAATCTCCAGTTCCGAGATCAGAGGCAGCGGCATCCCTCTGGGCATCCCTGTCACTTTGCTGTGAAGATGACAGAGCTCAGATTCAACACAGCTTCACACCTTCACCTCCTCTCGTCCCACAGCGAGTCCCCGTCCTGCTGCACAGCCATCTTCCCCAGCTGGGTTTATGTACAGCCGAGAGAAACGGGGGTCTGTTCTTCAGCACCTCCCTGGTGTGCTGTCACCCAGCTCAGCCTGGTGTTACAGGAAGCGGATGGTTCCTTACCGGGATGCTTGGTGCATCCCGCAGCACCCCTCACCCTCCCAGGGTACGGTCAGAATGAGAGGGTGGCTTTGTTACCCTCACTGCAGCGATGCAGCCCAGCGCTGCGCGTCGGGTACCACCGGACCATGACCATGTTACTCCCACCCCTTGCCATCCCTTTTCTCATTCCCTCACTCTGCTTTTCACCCCCTGCTTCCTCCATCCCTGCCCAATAAATAATCTGCCTGGAATTACTTTTTCCAGTTAGCCCCGGTTTTCCTGCATCTGTACCCAGATTTGGTCTTCCTGGCACCTCCACGCTAGCTGAGCTGCAAGCCAGGCTGAACCCTGGGTCAGCCTTCCTGCATGTCCCCAAGTCTCTCCCTCACTGCACGGCACACGAACTTAATCCAAAATGAGGTTTCCTGGAGCTTGGAGCCAACCTGCTCCCTCGGAGCGCTCTGGAGACTTTGGTGCGCGAGTGGAGCCTCTGCGTCTCCCTCACGGAGCCATCCCCAAGGAGTCGCTGGGCACCAGCAGGACGTTGCACGGCGAGGCGTCGGCGATGCCTCTTGCCCTGGTGCTGCAGTTGGTGTGGGCAGCGTGGGATGGGCAGACGGACGCCCTTCCTGCTTCTCTGAACCTCCTTGGATGCCGGGGGTGCTGCTCCACCCACCAACGCGCTGAGTGAAGCACTGAGCGTCTTGTGCCTGAAATCCTGTTACCCACATAGGATTTTCTCCCGCTGGTGACAGTGGGATGTAATGGAGAGGTTTTTGCTCTGCTCACGTTCGGAATCCAGCAGTTTGGGGCGCTCAGTGGGTAACTACACTGCGGCAAACGATCGCGGAACGTGGTGGCGTGGCCGGTGGGGCCTGGTGGCCATAGGATTCCCAGTGAGGGGCGGCGTGTGCCGTGCTGGAGCGCCACAGGTTGGCTGGGTTGTCCTGCTCCCACCCTGGTTTTGGTCGTCTTTTCTGGCGCAGGGGGTGTGAGTGAGCACCGTCTGTTCACAGGCTGTCCCTCTTGTGAGAAATGCTCACAGCCTGGTTACTTTGGCTCAGGCAGAATCTCAGTGAAGCCGCATTTTATTTGTGATGGCAGTGGCGGGCGTCCTCACCCCTCGCAGGAGAGAGAGCGCACACCTAATAGCGACAGAATACGTCTTAAATACCCTGATTCCCGCCACATTCAGCCCCCTCCCCTGTTTCCTCCTTGGCTGAGCACTCCAGGTTCCCAGCCCACCCCACGCGGGTTTCGATACTTTTGTGCAACTTGTGCATTTTATTTTTAGGGACAGTACGTTAACACTTTGGTCTATCTTCGTTACATCTTGTTCTGCAATTCTTTATCTTGTTCCCAACCTGTTATTATTTTAATGTTTTCTTTCTCCTGAGATGGTGATATTTCTTCTTTTATTTGACCTTGCCAATTAGCCCTTGTTCAGGTTGATTAAGAAAACAGCTCATGCAAACATGTGATAAAACTGAGGCATAGGACTCATCTGCAGAAACACAAAAAGTTACCTTCTAGGACTGGAATTTTCCATCTGCAAAATCACAAGAAGTTAGTTTCTTACACCATGTGCTGCATCTGCTTGTCCAGCCCAGAGTGTTGGCGGGGCAAAGCCGAAGGCTTGGCTGGGCAGGTCCGTGTGGCTCAGACAACCTGTGGACCTGTGTCCCCTGGGGGTTCCAGGCAGATGCTGGTAGGAACGGCAGTTACACTGGGATTACTGGGGATCTAGGCTGGGTGTTGGCACATCCCTGTTTCTCAGCCCTGGAGAGCAGGGCCATGTCCTGGGTCACAGTACAGTATCATCTCACTGTGAAAGTTACTCAAGTTAAGTTTTTCACACCTGATGCTTTGCTAACGAGCCTTTGAAATTCCTGGCAGGAGCTCAGTGTACCTCCACGTGCTGCCAAGTACCTCACGGAGGTCACGCCAGTGCCCGGGAGAAGACTGGGCAGTGGGGTGTCCTCAAGGCCAGAGCTGTCCTAGGCGTCACGCTGCAATGGCCGAGTGCTCGCCAGGGCTCTGCAGTGCTGGTGGCAGTGACCTTAAGAGCTGTTTCTCCTCTCCCCAGGTGAGCCACCACCCCCCAGCAGCTGCCCATCACGTCTACTCCAGGCGAGGGTGGACGCTGTGGCAGGAAATCACGATCGCCAGCAAGTTCAGGGGCAAATACCTGTCCATCATGCCGCTGGGTAGGTGACGGATGCTGAGGGGATCGGGCCTGCTCTCTCCCTACCCTGCTCATGCAGTACCTCGGAGGTTAAAGCAACGTGCCATCCCTTGGGCTCACTCAGGGCTCAGTGAAGTCCACCCTGAGCAACACGGGAGCGTGGATCTGTGCTCCCAATCACAGAAACCCTCCCAGATAACTCGTCTGCCCTGGAAATAGGAATTGTGTCAGCTGCAAAGGGAATCTGCTGTGCTTGCTGCTAGCACCATAGCGTATCTGCGTTGGAAATATTCTGCTTGCCCATTAATTGATTTCTCCTTAAATGTTATTTAAAGGTTAGCTTGCTGCCTGTTTTAACCCCCGACCTGGCAGCCAGATGCAATAAGCTGCCTCCTTCCTTGCTGAGCGTTCTAGTTGTCTGCTGCCCGTCCCTGGGCTGGGGGCAGCATGCCTGGGGCAGCTCCCAGAGCTGTGCTGGTGCCCAGCTGCACTGGGAGTCAACCAGGCAGCACGTTTCTGACCTGCTCATTCTGGGGGTTGGAAGAGGGCAGAGGCCTGGCAGGTATCGGTGCTCCCTTGCTGTAGCAGGACACGGGGCGTGCAGCAGGGGAGGGATAAATCCAGACCTGGCCTGGTTCGGGGCTGATGCTGGGTGGTGCAGGTAGGGGGTCCAGGTTGGCTCTGAGCGTGGTGCCGGTGGCATGTACTCTGGGGGAGCTGCCTGCAGCCCTGCCCAGCCATCTGCCCTCGCTGAGCCCAGGGCACCCTCTTCCCTGCAGGCGCCATCCACCTTGAGTTCCACTCCAGCGGGAATCACTACGTCTGGAGGAAGGTCACCTCCACCGTTCACAACATCATCGTGGGCAAGCTCTGGATTGACCAGGTCGGTGGCTGTGGGTCCTGGGCGATGGGTTCTGCCTGGCCTCCCCCAGCTCTGGGGCAGGCAGGGGGCTTGGGAGGGCACTGCCCTCTGGGGGTGTATGCCAGCGCTGCCTGGCTCCCCACCTAGCTGCTACTGCTTCCCTGGCAGGGATGGACAGAGGCTTCTTGGAGCTCCTAAAGGCTTTTCCCAAGGCCAGCAGCTCTGTGGGGAAGGGTGGTCACCTGTGTGGTGGGTTTTGCCCTGCGAGCCATGGGGCTGGTGGGGGTGGCTGGGGGGGCTGCAGGCAGAGGGGATGCTGCAGCTGGGGCTGGTTTGTACCTGCACCAACTACGACTAACGCCTGATTTGTCTCCTTGCAAAGTCTCTCACTCGCTGTGGTTCTGTGTCTCTCATCTAGTCTGGTGAAATAGAGATTGTTAACCATAAGTCAAAAGATAAATGCCAGCTGAAATTTACCCCCTACAGCTACTTCTCCAGAGACGTCCCCCGAAAGGTGCGTATCCAGTATCCTTCTGGCAGCCTCGCGTGGGGTGAGACCTGGCTCTTCCCTCTGAGCCGGGCTCAGGGGTTCCCAGCACCAAGCCGGGATGAGTCCCAGGATGGAGCCAAGGAGCCGTGCTGGCACCTCTGATGTGGGTCACCAGGGAGGGTGGGGGGGACCTCCAAACACCGCCGTGTTTTGGCTCTGCATGTGCCAGAGCTGCAGCACTGGGACCTGGGAAGGGTGGGATCAGCTGGGGACCCACGTGCACGGGCAGGACAAGCCCGCGCTCCGCCCACGCTGGCACAGCTGATGCCCAAGGACACGGGGCACCTGGAGGGTGCTCGACCATTCCCGTGCCTCTCCCTGTTCTCTGGGCACTTCCAGAAGCCACCAGAGCCGTCTCCTTCTGCCAGGTGACAGGGGTGGTGAGTGATGCCGACGGGAAAGCCCACTATGTCATGTCCGGCACGTGGGACGAGAAGATGGAGTGCTCCAAGATAGTGCAGAGCAGCCACGGAAGCACCAGCATGGAGGGCAAGCAGAAAACCGTCTACCAGACACTGTCCCCAAAGGTCCTGTGGAAGAAGTACCCCCTCCCGTGAGTCCCCTCCTCGGCGTGGGTGCAGCAGCTGGACGGGGTTAACGGTGTCACCCTGACCCCACTGGATGGAGGGGGCTCCTGTCCCCAGCCCTGAGGAGGCGGGAAGGGGACCAGGACTTGGGTGGCTGGGTGGTTTGTCTGTGACACCAGGAGGGGAGAGCAGGGCCCTGAAGGGGAGGTGGCTCTGGGGGACCCTTGCTGTAGGTTTTAGGCAGCTGAGGGTGCTGGTTGGGTTTTTCCATCGTAGGCTTGGCTTTTAGCTTCCCTGTGTGGAGCCAACGGAGCAGGAGTCTGCTCCCCTCTGAGGCACCCATCGAGGCGTCATCGTTTTTTTGGGAGGCAGCGCTCCCAGAGGACCTCTCCCATCTGGTTTGGGATAGCAGGAGCAGCTTCAGTGGGGCTGGGCTGAGACTCGGGGATGGGGGACTGGGACTGAAGGGCTGCGGGGAGCTTGGCTCGAGGTGGGCATGGCCCCTGCTGTCCTGATGAGCACTCTGCGGCTGCAGGGAGAACGCCGAGAACATGTATTTCTTCTCT